TAGTCGATGTCTGTTAAACGTTTTAGCATTAGTTAGTGATGCAAAACCAATCCATCAACTGTCAAGGACTGCCGTCACCTGGCCTAATTATCGTTTTCGCGAGATAAGAGAAGAAACAAGCAATAAGTAACATCATTCAAGAAATAATTTGAGAAATAAATAATAATGCAGCATGTTGCCCTAGTGCTAAGACATCACTATAAATTGCCACACTGCGGACATCATAGCGAAATGACTGTAATATTGTTGAAGCTACGTGAAAAATACCAACACCACATACACACACACACACACTTACAGGCTTGGAAACTATAGCTTTCTTAACTCTATTTACCTCTGGTTATTTAATTTCAAACGTTTTAATTTCATTTCCGAGCCAAATAGAGACTTACTAATCAAACCCGAAGCATGTTAATCCAAAACATTCCGTTCTATCAAACGTTGGACCAAAATATTTTATGTTTCACATTCATTAAAGAAGATTCGTTTAAGAAAAATTACATTCTTAGATAAGCTGGAGCAATTCGTACATTTTTAAAGACTCTAACCTTTCCTGGGTACAGTTTAAAAGACAACTCTCCACTTGGTTTACTAATAATTTCTCAACTATGTGAAATTAAACTTTCAGGAACTAAAACGATTAATTTCTTTTCAATATTTAAAAAAATTAATATCCCCTACGACCACCAATATTTCATTACGAATCTTATGTCTATAGCAAGTAACAGAAAAGAGCCAAAAAAAGTTTTGTATGATACAGCAAATAATTTAGTTCCAAACATACAATGTTAAAATGTAAAAGAAACGTATAATGTCGTGAATCAACTCCAAAACGTTATATAACAAATCCAAACATATAGGTGTTCTGATTGAATTCCAGTGATGTTTCGTATGAATTCCTATCTTGGAAATATTGCTGCAACAATAGCTTAGAATTAGTCCAAAAGTATTATTGAACACTTTGCATTTCCAATGATAATTTCAATAAACAAATCCTCTCAAATTAAAACTGAACACAACTAAAAGATTGACGCTACTGGTCAAATGTTAAGGTAGGAAAGTGAAATTTTATTACAAACAATTCTAATAAAAACCTAAGCCACTAATTGAGGACCAGGATCAGTGTCCTCATAATGGAAACATTCCATCAAACTATAAAAAAAATTGGTTTCTGGAATCGTCTATGGTCAGAATCAAGACTGTAGCTAGAACTCGAAAGCAATGAGACATGTTTATTTGGAAATAATAATAATATTCATATATAATCAAAAATGATACACAAAAAATTAGGTATGAAATCATCTGATTATGTTTTGCTTTCCTAAATATGTATGTGTACGGTGTGTTTGAGAGTCTAAATTTCCTTCACAACTTTGTACAGTCGTTTGAAATAATAATGCATTTTGGTGAGGATGCTAATGTCTTTAACTCATTTGCACTGCATATAGCATTTACTGTTGATTTTTCTATGTCATACATGGTGAACTGGTATAATGTCATATAGCATTTACTGTAAAATTATCTCTATCATAGACTTTTAACTGGCATAATATTAAACGTAATGGTAAACGTAATGTTAAACGTAATGTTAAATGTAATGCCTCGAATGAATAACAAACTAAGGTACTTTAACTTAAAAGCAATATTCTCAATGACCCGGATGTTAGTTCGTTGAAGTGGAAAACAGAAAAAAAATCTGCCAACGGTTCGACCCCGAGGGCAGAGATGCAAAGAGAGATTGTTACCTGCGCTATGTGATGTGAATTTTACTTTAATTTGGAATATATCATCTCCTAACATATTCTACAACGGAATTGTAAGATTTTGGGAATAACTTTTGATTCTATATATCATTCTTTGTACATTTTTACAAATACCGTCTACTATATTTATCAAGGATTTTACGTGCATCACGGTTTTCATTTTTTCAATGACGTTTAGAGAACTGCATCTTCTTTATCTTCTAACCTTGATGGTTCTTTACTTTATGTTCATGTTTTTGAAAAGGTTGTATCTTCCTATATGATATTATTCCTTTACAATCGTTTGTGTCAACCGTTTTTAGCTCTATTTTTTATTGGCACTGTATAGCCAGTGGTCTGATGAAGTGGCGACAAACACTAAAACTACCACTCTTTTTTAATAACTGAAAAATAATAATTGACGTTTAATTTGATTTAGTCTGCAGTATCAAAATGTATAATAATAATAATAATAATAATAATAATAATAATAATAATAATAATAATAATAATAATAATAATAATAATATTAATAATAATAATAATAAATATAACAGCAATAATAATAATAATAATAATAATAATAATAATAATAATTAATGATGATGATGATGATGATGATGATGATGATGATGATGATGATGATGATGATGATGATGATGATGATGGGTACTTTGTAGAGCGCCTAATCTTTAGAACCTCGAAGCGCTTTATAACATTTGACATCACTTAAAAGGAATATAATGATATGATGACAAAAATAAAAACAAACACCACGAATTTAGAAAACATAAAAACATGCTGTACATATTTTAGTTAAGGAAAGATTTTTAGGTCTTTAAGTTTGTTCTTGCAGTTGTAATAGGTGAGTCATAAGAGCGCTCGTAAATGAGATCACTGGTCAATTCGTTCCACGTTGCTGGGCCCTTGTATGAAAAAGGACGTTGTCCATAGGATTTCATTTTCATAGTAGGAATAATGAGAATACGAGTGTCAGAACAAGAGGGTAAGTATCTTGCTGGTGTGTACACATGGGTGAGGTCGGATAGGTATCTTGGACTGGAGCCAGTCAGTGAAACGTAGCACAGAGAATAAATTTTGTATTTAATTTTGGATCGAATGGGTAACCAGTGTAGGGTGCAGATCAGGAGAAGGCGAGCTCTGATCCAAATTAATCTAAGGATGATCCTTGAAGCTGTGTTTTGAACTTTCTGAAGATTCTGCACTAGATATTGAGACGAACCAGACAGAAGGTAGATACAATAGTCTAGTCTTGAGAGTACTAAGGAACACACAAGTGTTACAGTGGCATCAACTGAAAGATATTTGCGAATTGTGCTGATGTGTCTCAGCTCAAGATATGCAGCCCTGCATATGTTCATGACATGTTGATGCAATGAGAGAGTACTGTCGAAAAAAAGACACCTAGGTTCCGTACTGACTGCGTTAATTTAATGTTGGTGTTGCTGATATTTATTGTCTGAGGTCAAAAATATATTAATGAGAAAGTCTTTGTAGTGTACTCAGAATGACTTCAGTTTTAGTATCATTCATCTGCAACTTGTTACATATTTCACATCGGAAATGAACCTCTCTACATCTTGGATAGCAGCTTCAACTTCATTTTGGTGGCTAGATTTATATATTTGGGTGTCATCGGCATCCGATTAGTGAAACACTGGATGATGATCTATGATACTTGTGAGATTCCTGAGTATAGAATAAAGAGAGCAGGTCCAATAACAGACCCCTGATTGGAACACAACACACATCAACTGGGTTTGAGTGTTTTCCATTTGCGGACACAATTTGTGTCCTGTTGACCATGTAGGACTTGAATTGTATCGTGAATGCCAAATACAATCTGGAGACGGTGAAGTAAGATATCATGGTTTATTGTGTCAAATGCTGCAGTTTTGTCAAGAAGAGTTAGGACAGTAATATATCCGCTATCCAAAGCAGATAGAAGGTCAATAACCACTTTCAGAAGAGTAGTTTCAGTACTGTGGAGTTGGTGATATGCAGACTGTACATTGCTAAAAAGACATTTGAATTCAGATGAGCTGCAAGTTGGGATAGAACGACTTTTTCTAAGATTATGAACATGAATGGTAGGTTAGAAACTGTGCTTGTTGTTTAAATCTTTATGGTCTAGTGTTGATTTCTTCAGCAGAGGTTTTAAAATGGCAGTTTTGAAACATGATGGAATTCCTCGGATGAGAGATAGGTATTAAGAACATTGTATTATCAAGCTTATCTCTCATGGTTCTTTACTTCGTCACGGAATAAATTTGCAAACCGGTCCGGAAGGTCGACTATAGAGAATGTAGTTGGATGTGGTGTACATTTGTTCCCTGACATTAGCTTCTTAGTACTCTCCAATAGCTTTTTGCAGCAGGGACTTTCCGTGATCTTAGTACTGTAGCGGGATGATTTCGCTGATTGGATGATATCTGTTGTTATTGTTGTTGTTGTTGTTGTTGTTGTTGTTGTTGTTGTAGGGTTTAACGCCATTTTTCAGCACAAGATAAGCTATACATGGCGGCCAGTATTAATGGTGGAGGAAGAACCCTGGAAAACCCCGGGAAGAACCACCGACCCACGAGAAGCTACTGGCAGGCTTTTTCACTTATCCACGTTAGCCGAGTCGATATTTGTGACATTCTAACCAGTAGCTTTATCGGCTGTTGATTGCAGTTATGAGTATCACGATTATGATGATGATGATGACGTCGATTGTAGAGAGGGTAGAAGAAAGAATGAAAAAAAGAAAAAAATAGTAAGAGCATCACACCAATTATATTAGTCATTGTTTTTGAGCGTAATAGTTCCGTGAATACTGATTGTTTCCATTGTTTTGGCTGTGATGCAAATATGGAGATGTGATAGCTGAGTTGTCAAAGCGTTTGATTCGTAAACCAATAGTCGTGGGTTCGTTACCCACCCAGGAGAGCCCGGTTCGACTGCCTACGTATGTTCACTTAGCTCCATTTCCTCAGCATGATATAGAGAACAATGTGTTAAGCGTGAAATTCGTCTTGGTTGTTATAGTAGTATATTCAACGCCCATTCAACAACCAGTAAATATGTAGTATATTCAACGCCCATTCAACAACCAGTAAATTTGCATCAGGTAGTGATGCAATACGAATCCATCAATTGTCAGACAGTGACGTCACTAACCAGATGAGCGAGAAATGGTAAGTCACAAGTAATAAGTACTATATATAAAGAAATGGTTAATGATATACTACGAATCCCGTGGTAGCTCAGTTGGTAGAGCGGAGGACTGTAGAAAAAGCTGATGGCTATCCTTAGGTCTCTGCTTCGAATCCGGCTCGCGGGAGCTACTTTTTAAAGTCTGCATATTTTAATGAAGGGAGATTTCTGTTCTTTGGAAGCAAAGAATACTTGAATAATATAAAATCGATATTTGAATAGTTATATATATATATATATATATATATATATATATATATATATATATATATATATATATAATATTAAATTAGATAATTACATATTATTGTAAAAATAATAATCTATAGTTTAATGGATTGAATTAATGTGGCATTTTGTGGGCTATTTATTCAGATCAATGGAGTCACGATAATTTCCTTTGTTTGTCAATCGCTCTTTCTAGATTCATTTGTGGCGTTTTCCCCTCATTGTCGATGAAAGAAAAATAGTATTGTTGGCTATTTCTCTTTTTATAGCTCATACGAATCAGCAAAAATGTTAAAGAAGAAAACAACGAACGCTTCGTAAAGTACTGATAGGAGTGGATGAAAGGTAAAGGTCATTATTAATGACATTTTCACCAGTTATCATGGATGAGATTTTTCTTCCACTCGTCCAATTATCGTGCCAATTATTGTGTAAAGATGATTTTATGAGAAGAATGTTTTCCCACTTCCTATTTATGTAAGGGTTATTTGTTTAAAAAATTATTTAGGTCAGTTGTTTTCCTCATGCCTCTATTATTGGAGTGACAGTTCTGAGAGAGAGAGAGAGAGAGAGAGAGAGAGAGAGAGAGAGAGAGAGAGAGAGAGAGAGAGAGAGAGAGAGAGAGAGAGAGAGAGAGAGAGAGAGAGAGAGAGAATAAATAGCTACACAAAGTATAAAATCGAACAAAATATCTTTTAAGGCAAGAAAGAATTATTACGGCCTACGTTTGAGGTTGTGTCACTGATTTCTATTGTTATATGGCAGGTGTACAAAGAGGTGTTGGGTTCGAACTGAAATAGGAAGTCAGAATTCTGAAGTTCTATTACTTAGCACTGTTTTATTGAAATCGTACAACTCAGTATAGAAAATGACCCCTTAATTTACATATTCTTAGAATATTGAATTACATATAAAATTATTATACTCATTCAAAGCTCATCTCAAGGTCATACGGTTCTGATATTTATTTCTTTTTAAACTATGGCGTAAATATATCGAAAGAGACTCAAAATATACTTACAGTAGTATTAATATCCAACTCATTTTGTCGTAATGACAAATGATTAAATGCTTTACCTTAAATACCGAAATATCACGTTGTACAATTTTAAAGGTATTTTATTTCTAGACCGCTCTGGTGGCCTAGTAGTTAGAGCGTCATACGAAAGACTTACAAAACTGGTACTAACAGCTGCCTCTCATGAAGTTGACATCAAGTATGTTAAAGTATAATGAAAGACTGACATTACAATTCACAGAAAAGTAAAAAAAATAAAATATTATAATTCATAATTAATATTATCATCGAAACATGCTTTGAGAAGCAATAAAATATTTTCCATCTTTGTCTTCCAATAACATTAAATGCATTCTGGCACTGAGAAGGAGTGTTTTCGAGCAATATCTACCTTTGCTCCATTCAAGGCCACAGAGCAAGGCACATAGTCATAACCCTTCATTCGGAGTTAGGGAAAGCAAGATTCGTTTTGGAGATACGTAAAGTTACCAGACTTGTTTTATAACGAATTCCGTTTTCCAAAATAGTGTACCGGTCAAAGGTAGCGCTCTTTAATTGACTTCTTCAGTGTTTATTGTCTTCCTTCCTCTGGTATGTCTTCATTCAGTCATTGGTGTGGAGCGATTACTGACGTAAGCTTATCCTCATGAACTATCATGTTTACTTGGCTTGGAGTATCGTATGAATCACTAATATTTTTCTAGCATGTGAATTTCCGTGCTATAAAAGTACTACCAATTCTTACTAATTGAAAATAAAAAAGATAAGTTTTAACAACAAAAAAAGTCTTTGTTAAAATTCCAACAAAATTCAATCCTAACACATGAGCATTGATTGCAATTTTTCTTACAATCGCTTGGATGTTTAAAGAGTAACACTGCACGAGGATATGACGTCATGCTCATAGCAGAATGCGTTATAGTGATAACACACTTCCCTAGAAAAGAGATCCATGAGCATTTAATATTTAATATTATAAATATTGTATGGCACTGAAAATTTCAATTGGTATTTAATGACCAAATAGTGACCACTCAGAAAGCCATATCGACTCCAGATTTGCATCTGTCCAAATACCATTTCTGGGAGTCATATATAGGTTCTTAAGCTGCCATTAAGCACTCAGCATCATATACACCCTTTATGTCACTGGTTCTCTACTCGTCGGGTTCTTGGGGGAATATTGTTCGACAATATTTATCCTCTTCTCTGACCATGAGAATTGTTGCCCATTTGCTTTCCATCCTATGTCCAGTCAAATGTTCCAACTGTATGAAAAACTTTAGGTCTTTGTTGAAGAGGATGGATATCCAATCAGTCCTCATTCCAACCGGAATTGAGATTTCCAACTTTTAACACACAAAATGAGTTCATTCAAGAGAATGTGTACTCCATTCTTCTAGGAGTCTGAACGGATGATGCAAAGACTACGTGATCTTGTTTCATGGCCACGGTGACAGATCCTGAAGCCATTCATAAAGATTGTAATACCTATTATATATAATATAGGTACACGGTCTAATAATGCCCATTATAGGACAATACATGGTCGATGTCTGTTGAACGTTTTAGCATTAGTTAGTGATGCGGAACCAATCCATCAACTATCAAACATTGGCGTCACCAGTCAAAATAGATTGTTCTCGCGAGACGAGGCAGAAAAGGAGCAATACATAAATTAGTAAATAATAGCTGATGTAAATAATTTGAGATATATATTCTTTTCATATCATCCCGTGATAGCTCAGTGGTAGAGCGGAGGACTGTAGAGAAATTAGATGGTTATCCTTAGGTCGCTGGTTCGAATCCGGCTCGCGGGACTTACGTTTCTTAGTTTTCAAATGTCAACCTTCAAGTCAAGAACACTGGAATAGACTTGGATAATGTCAAATAGATAATTGAAAACTATTAAATGGATAATTAACTTAAGGCTCTCTGCTTGTTTAAGATGCATCCTTTTTGTCATTGCTTATCGAATGGTCTATTTCATGGAAATAGTATTGTATCGTCGCATTTAAGTTTTTGTTTATTGCACCAATAATATCCAGTCAAACACGTACCATTATGTTGACACGCAAACAATTTGTTCTCACTTAATCGACTTTGAGACTTGTCCCACCTTTGGTAGTTGAGACATTGTATGCCATATTAAAAAGAAAATAACAAAAATACCCCAAAAAAACAAAACCAACTAATTATGTACGAAGCGGAGATGGGAAAAACATTATATAAAGGAACGACAGAATAATTTCAACGCACCGGTGGCCCAGCGGTTAGAGCATCTGCCTCGGATGTTGTAGGTCGCGGGTTTGAACCCCGGCCGAGTCATACCAAAGACTTTAAAATAAAAATGGTACAGCTGCCTCATTAAGCGCTCATCATCAAGATCTTAGTGTCGGCCTGATGTCAGGATAATTTCACTGGGTGGGACATCATGCGACATGTCTGCGGTATGATGCCCCAGTGCTGGACATCATTATAAACTGTCGAACCGCAGACATCGTAGTGATATGACTGAAAGAGTGTGTGTGTGTGTGTGTGTGTGTGTGTGTTTGTAGGCGTGTGTGTTTTTCTTATAAAAAACCCCACCAACAAACCAGACACTATTAAGAATTATATGAGTCATACAAGGTTGGCAAGATAAGAAGGGGTGGGCAGCAGGGGATATATATATCACAACACTTTAATTTTCTAAAATAAAAGTTTTGTTTGAACAAAAACTAGGAAAGGCTCTGTTGTTTCTTACCCCAGGGCCCATGACCGCTCTCTGCGGCTCTAGAGCCCTGTCAAGTTAACCCAACCTGACAACAAATCTTACATGTCAAATTACAGACCACCATAAATCCTCCATAAACTTTCCAAGCCATTTGGAAAACACTTTGCCCGACTTTGTCTTCGTTAATTTAATAAATAACATATTTACACGCAACACGATCAGATTTCCGATCACATCTCGTCAAATTGCCTTAATTAAGCTTGTAAATGAACTCATAAACATAGACGATAATGGCAGTATTATTTGGCGTTGTCTTTGCCAACATAAAATTGCCCATATAATGTTTGTTTGATTCGAAGCAAATACTACAACAATAATATAAAATGGGCATACAAATATTATTTAAGTGATAAATTAATGTTATTACGAGAATATTTTTGGAAAGTTATGGTTTTGGGGTTCTATGTTTGTATTGTTATTTTCTCAAAGATGTCTTCATATTTTACTTCGTCATTTGTATGTCTTCTGGTTATATCTGTAAAAGAGAGCCAGAATATGTTGCCATTATTGATTAAGGGTTGTTGTTTTTTTGGTTCTAATTAACTGGAGCAAATCGCCATAGCTTCTTTCGACCATTAATCGATTTTCTATGATTCATTTTTTACCAGATTCGTGTCGGTACAAATACCATTCTTGGTGATTAACAGGTCCAGGAATTGAGTTTAGACCCTCTGCTCCAAGTAATGCTTGTTAAATGTTAACTTTTATGCCTTTGCTTATTCTATTCCTTGGGAATAGTGTTAGATACAGTGTATCTAACACATGCAAATTACTTACTTTTCAGTACCCTACTATCAATGAACATAATAATGGAAGGTGTCAAATTATAGGTCTCCAAATACAAAACTCTTGAGCTAATAACAAATGGCTGACGACGTGATATAAGGATTATACATGGATGCCTCTCATGATTCTATATGTATTTTAAATTCGTTAAAATAATATATATATATGTATTTTAAATTAGTTTAAAATGATATATTTGTATTTTAAATTAGTTAAAAATATTGATAGTAGCATGCGCATATAATGTGTGTAACATGTAAGCTAAGCAGTATGCTCTAAAAACTTTACAACAAACTTTTCAAAGACTTTTACTGTATGAAGCTGTACCTCGAAAAAAGGTTGCACATGCAAAGATCGGTTGTCAGGATTGGCTAATAGTTTGCTAATAGGTTGCCAGTTCATATAAATTAGGTATAATTTATAATTGTCATGCTTTGTAAGCGAAACATTATAACTCATATTCATTTCCCATATTTATTAAAACAAAACTGATATAAGCAAAATGCGGAGTCATTGTGACTATAACCATGGTCATTGGCGCGTACAGGATGAATACAATGAACAGCAGTAGAAGATATATTGAACACATGCTGAAAATATGTGTAAAAGTTTGAATAGCAAATAATTTGGATGTTCGATAATATAATCATACAGCTAAACAATATTGATGGCTGTGAATAAGTCATAAATGATATAGTCACAGTGACATGTGTATCTATATAAAATGCTTAATTTTTGCTGGGAGCTGTAGAATTAATACCCAGTGACATGCGTATCTATATAAAATGCTTAATTTTTGCTGGGAGCTGTAGAATTAATACCTATTTTGTTATTTTTCTAAGTAATGTACAACAGGTTTAATTGAATTTGAGTTAAAGACCTGACTTCGTTTCACGAGATAGTGAGCTTTCTCCGTGGGAAGTCTTATTATGTCTCAGGTTAATCGATATTTGTACATAAAGGGGATTTAGTTAAAGAACTGTTAATTCATGTTTCATACCAGTCTTTGAGAATCTATAATCAGAGTTTGTATCTGTGTTCAGGTATAACTCGAGATGAATTATTGATTTAAATTATTCTTTGAAATTACAAGGTGCTCATTGAAATTTTGGACTGAGATAATAGTTTGAGATTAATGAGAATTCATTCAAAGACGTTCTGGATTATATCGTTATGGTAAGTCATGGCATTCTAGACTTTTGGAATGAATTTGGAACATCCTATACGTTTCTACTTAAGATAGGATATTTTGGATTAGTTGGAATTTGAATATATCACAATACTGTACGTGTCTTAAATTTTCACTTTGTCTTCAAGGCAAATAAACTATTTGCTGAATTTTATTTCAGCTGTGGAGGTCCAAATAAGTTTCAATTTTGAATGTGTTGATGTGACTTTTATGTCGAATGTGCTAATGTGCCAGTAACCTTGAATGTGGCGATATGCTAAGAGTCTTTTGATGTATCACAATAATATAATCTCACTGTTTTAGGCAGAATTCACGGTCATTCCAAACTAATATTCATCGTCTTTGAAGTGGTCCTAGACTTAGCTGTAATCGTCGCAGAAGTAATAATAGTATATTTTAAGTCAGTCGAAGAAATTGTATCTGTCCACTACATAGTAACTAATACCAATCCATGTACTGTCAGGCATAGGCAACAGCTGATGTAATTGGTCACTCTCTACTACCTCCAACCGAGGCAGAAACAAAGAATAAGCACTAGTTCACGACAAAAAGCAATTATCGTATCCCGCGATAGCTCAGTTGGTAGAGCGGAGGACTGTAGAATTATATTTTAAAATTATAGCTATCTTTAGGTCGCTGGTTCAATTTTTGTTTAATCAGACGTCAATTATATCGACGTTTGAAACGATCTATTTTACGGTCTGATATATTCCCAACAAATGATTATGAAATAACATCGTATGGACAATAAAATAAAACAAAAATAGAAATTCTGGAGGGAAGTTAGTTTTCAGAGTTTTATTTTTAACGCAGGTTTAGGATTCTCGAATATGATGTATAGTAATCCAACAGTGTTCATGAAGTCCATTTTTGTTGTCACCTTTATTATTGTTTCGTGGGGGTTGTTTGGTTGAGGCGGTATTTATTTGTTTTCACTGATTATGGTAAACTATTCAAGATAAATGAGTCAGTAAATTAAAAGCTGTTCCGAAATTGTTCTTCCTTGGATTTTGGAAATGTTGAGAATATGCAGCATATACTTAGAACACACTAATTAGGCAAAACTTAACAAGAAAAGTGAAGCCAGAAATTCCAGTGCTTTTCTATTTTAATTATTTTGTGACATTGGAAAAATGTTAAAATTTCTGTCGAAATAGACCGTTATAATTTAGAGTTTAGATTTTGCTTTGAAGTTATATCATTTAGTAGATATTAAAGACTTTTGTGAATTAATATTAATTATTAATTAAGAATTTGTAAACGAGTTTAGAATTTTGTCATAAAAAGGCTTCCTTGATTTTGAGTATTCATATTTGGTGCGTTGTTTGATAGGCGTTTGCATAATTTTCGCCACGTTTAATCGCAAATGCTCACTTTTTTAAGTCCGACTAGCTTGGTTAGAAACTTTGGGCTACATATTCACTATTCAACGCAGGATGACTGTATTATTTATAAAACCTAATTATGTTATAAGATAGGATAAAGCATTTATTATGTGACAAAATCAACAGTATCAGATGGTTATACGCACCACCATAACCACTTTCGCCACTACTACAGGCGATATCCCGCCTAATTTGATATGATTTGTATGGCGATAAAACACAGCATTATCGCCATTTTTATGAAGATTGTGTCAGCATGCACACGTAGGACAATCATTTATAACGACTTGGTGATGGGCGTAGACTTTATGCAATTGTTTACTGACCCATCAAGTTGTCAACATGCATACCTAATATTTTTTTCCTAGAGTGGTGGAATGTATTCTGGATGCTGTCGCTTACTGACAGATCTAGCTGTCAAAATACCATCTTAGAACTATAATGTGTGACAGCTTTGTGGTGGGATGTATTATGCACGTACATGCTTACTGACAGAAATAGCTGTCAAAATACCATCTTAGAACTATAATGTATGACAGCTTTGTGGTGGGATGTATTATGCATATACATGCTTACTGACAGATCTAACTGTCAAAATACCATCTTAGAACTATAATATGTGACAGCTTTGTGGTGGGATGTATTATGCACGTACATGCTTACTGACAGATCTAGCTGTCAAAATACCATCTTAGAACTATAATGTGTGACGGCTTTGATGTGGGATCTATTCAGCACGTACATGCTTACTGACAGATCTAGCAGTCAAAATACCATCTTAGAACTATAATGTCTGACAGCTTTGTGGTGGGATCTATTCACAGATCTAGCTGTCAAAATACCATCTTAGAACTATAATGTGTGACATCTTTATGGTGGGATTTATTCAGCACGTACATGCTTACTGACAGATCTAGCTGTTAAAATACCATCTTACAAATATAATGTGTGACAGCATTGTGGTGGGATCTATTCAGCACGTACATGCCTACTGGCAGATCTTGTCGTCAGCATGCACACTTAGAATTGCCATGTATTTACCAAACTGGATAATGTATATACTTGTAATGACGTTTCTTTGCAGAATGGCACTAACACTTCTGGGGAATTCCCCACCCCATCCCACCCCACACCAATCTGCAAAGAAGTTTAATGTATGATGGGTTTATATCATTGAAAATTGCTGCGATGGTCACTTCAGACCAGTTTATATTTTATAAACATTTAGGAACTTGTTTAGAATTAATTCATCTAGTTTGATATATTTGGAGACTGAAAGTCACCACAGCATTTGTAGAAGCAAACACAAACCAGAAGGTAGGGGCCCCGAGTGGCCGAGTGGTCTAAAGCGCTATCCGTTACGGATCACTGCCATCTCACCTCTGTCTGCACGAGTTCGAGTCTAAGATTCGGCGAATGTGGATATGTGAGAAAGCTGGTCAGTAGCTTCTCGTGGGTCGGTGGTTCTTTCGGCGGATTTCCCGGTTTCTTCCTCCACCTTTAATATTGGCCGCAATGTATAGCCTATCGTGTGCTGAAAATGGCGTTAAGCCCCATAACAACAACAACAACAACAACAATAACAACAACAAACCAGAAGGTAATTTATAAAAAAAGCTTAATAGACAATTGCACGGGATATGAGTGGTGGGATGTTTATGCTTGACGGGATTTGGTACGAGTGTGACTTTTCGTTTTTTTTTAATGAAATTGCGACGAGTTTCATTTCATTATACTTATGACAGGAGCAGTTCATATTCAAATTATTATCTTTAGTTTGAAATAAGGTAAAATTGTGATGATGGTTTGCGTGTTGATAGAACGGTTTTATGTATTCCTTGCAGATTGATTAAACTGGGACTACATGTACTTTACTGCGTTTCACACATGGTAAACCACCCTTATATCGACAGAAGTTTCATCCTCTGGAGAAAACGTTCAGCTCTCTACGATCTATGCCACATATTTTTTATTGTTTATTAATCCAATCGAAACTACATTAATTTATAGTTTGGTTTACTGTCTTCTTGATTGATGGCTTCATTAAACTGAAATCTTTTTGAACAAAGGTGGCGATTGATTGATGCTAAAATAACATGAATGGCAAACTTTAAAGAGAATTCATATCGTTTCTCAACATAAAAGTCTAACAAAAAAGTTTTTGCAGAAATTTATTTACACTTTTATCTCTTAATATCTCGAGCATACCCCTGCCTGCGAAAATCCACACACCCACGAAATTGCAGTGAGTTGTGCTATTTCAGTATATTTGAAAAGATTAGATACGCTTCGTTGCCCTTTGTCGCTTTCGGATATATTGTCTAGAGTCCTATCCACCGACAGTTTCACTCTCTAATGAATTCCTGTCCATTCTGTTTATCATGAACTATTTCCATTACGACGTCGCAAACTTTCAAACTGCGATCAACCTACAAAATAGCAGTATTTTTTTTGTATGGTCTTTCCACAATCTAGAAGGCTCTAGTGGTGATAATTTGGATAGATTTAATAGTTGCTTGACATATTAACGGAATATTTTATGATTGCTAAAAGCACACTGGGATTGTAAATATTCTTTTTGGACGAGATTGCTATCATTCTTGTCTTTCCCTTTTTCTTGATTTAAGTAGCTAGGTAGCGATATATTTGGGTACCCACCTGCCGGTTTAGAGATGTTGACTATCCTTGGTGTCCTTGTGTGCCTACTACATGTCGTACCGGAATCAATATCTTTCACAGGGATGTATCCTGTGATCTTGTTAATGCTGATGAGATTCTGGACTTTTGAAAAGATTTCGCTTCACGTAAAAATTTTAGTTTGCATTTTAATTATTTTGTCATGTTTTACCTTTATACTATTTTGTACACCGTTTTTCGGATACCTAAGAATGTTTGTCGCTAGCAGTTTTAAGTTTAACCCGAAACATACATACATACATACATACATACATACATACATACATACATACATACATACATACATACATACATACATACATACATACATACATACATACATACATACATACATACATACATAAATGCATGCATGCATGCATGCATGCATGTTCGCATACATTCCTCAGCACACACCCACCCGCAACCTTACTCGTAACGAGCATTATTCAGTATTAATGACCCCATTGGTAATCCCACCGCACCCAAGGGGGGCGGTACAGCCCACTTTGGAAACCACTAGTGTAAATGATTCAAACTCCGATAAGTATATTAAAATAAAGTAAAACAGATTAGAGTTACTTGTACAACACGCTCTCAACGGCTCAGATGATGCGGCCAGCACATTCTGAAAGGAGAATTGCGCAATCAATGTATACATTAGTTCATAGACTAACTAGCGATATTAGTTATTATTCTTTCTCCATTTATCCAGAGATGATATACTAATTGGCATCTAATTTTATTTATTGCACAAGTTTAAAATCTACGTCACGAATACTTTTGTGATGATAGTGACAGTAATAATGACGACAGTAATAGAAGCAGCAGCAGAAACATTAGTTGTAACGGAAACTGCCCAATTGAAGACATTGTCGTCGCCGTAATAGTAACGGGGTGGGGCTTGTTTTTAGTGTTGTGGCTATACAGTCAATGCACCACTTTGATAAGAGTTGTTTTGATGTCGTCCTCATTGTGGTTGTCGTCGTCGTCATTGTCGCAGTATTAGTATAGTCAGAACCTATCGACAAACTATATATGAACACTAGTTAGCCTGGTAATGCCAGTCCATCAAGTCTCAGTGCCATCAGCAGACATAACGATCGCTCCACGCTGCATCATTGATCGGTAATTAAGCAAACAACCAGCACTATGATTGAGAAAACAATTGGAGATATTTTGCATATGTTTAACCCCGCGATAGCTCAGTTGGTAGAGCGGAGGACTGTAGAAACAGTTAGTTGATATCCTTAGGTCGCTGGTTCGAATCCGGCTCGCGGGACTATGTTTTCTTATTATTTACCTTTTTAATGCCAACTGTGTTCGTATTCAAGACACCCGACGATACGGCCTCATAGATTCCGGATTAATGAATAAAGATTTTATTGATAGAATAATTACATTTTCTCGAATATATTAGCGAAAAGAATTTTATTGTTCAATTTGTAAAACAAAAAGTCGATGTATCCAATCGTCCACCGAAAGTTCTTCTGAGACACGTGTGTCGTTCTTCCGACCATTGTCAACGGGTTAAAAATACCATTACCTCTATCTCATGCTTAATTCATGCGACTCAACAAAATCTTTTAGGGAAGAAG